AGGTGTGTGCATGCATATGGATGTATCTTAGTGGAGTAACAATAAATCACAGATTTATCAGTCCCTTTTGATGCAAAAAGTATTCAGGAAAAATCAACCTTTTTCTCTACTGTTATATGCCTCTTATGCAACCTTGGCTGTTGGGGAAAGAAAGGATGCGATTGCTGAATAGGTCAGATTGCTCACTGGCATTCTCACTGGCGCTCTCAGCCTTCCTTTGTTACACAGCCTGAGAGAGAACAGGCTAAGCCACGACTCTCAACGGAATCAAGCAAACACGTTTCATTTCCAAGAACATTGGCTCAGTAAACGTGGGTGAGATTCCAGAGAAGTGAACTGTTTAGACATAAAATTCTTAGTGCCTTTTAACAACTAGCTTCCTTACAGCTTGCTAAGCATCTACAACATAACTTCCAACTGCATCAAGTAGTGGAAAATTCACTGGATGATGCTTTTTGAGTAATTCTCGAGTCAAACACATTACACATTTAAGCTTTTAAGCCAACAGATACACAGCATACCAGGAACGGAATCAAAATAGCGTGTTCACAGCAAAAAATTCCGATGTAAATCTTATTTGGAAAAGACTGAACTGTATCTGATCAGTGACGTGAAGGTAAACCTTGAAAACAAAGCCTACATTAATTAGTGACCCATCCAGGCCTTTTTTCTAGATTGACGTACAGTGAATTTCATGGCTGCTTGATACAATAGCCACTCTCTTTTGCTATTCATGTTTTCACGCTTCAAAATGATGCCATCTTCCTTCTCTCCCTCTCTACACGCCTCAAGAAGCAAGCATCCAATCTGTACCAATAACTTTCAGAGGGATTAAAGATACCATTTCCCAGGCCTGTACAAAGCAGTCACTGGGGCTGCACCTGAAAGCCACACAAACTTTTCCATTAAAACCACAGAATCACAGAATCACCCGGGTTGGAAGGGACCTCAAGGATCATGTAGTTCCAACCCCCCTGCCTAGCAGGGCCACCAAACACACACATTCAGATCAGGTTGCCCAGGACCCCGTCCAACCTGGCCTTAAACACATCCAAGGACGGGGCATCCACAACCTCCCTGGGCAGCCCGTTCCAGGGCCTAACCACTCTCCTTGTAAAGAACTTCCCCCTAACATCCAACCTAAATCTTCCCTCCTTCAACTTGGATCCATTAACGGATCCATTTACGTTTATCAAGTTGTTTCTCAATTACCTGCAAATAATTAACCACCCTACCACCACTAATAGAAAGTACAGATTTAGAGAAAAACCAGTTTGTTCTAATAAAGTGAGAAAAGGTGCACCGTAAGCATTTCGAAAGGAAGCAAGCTTTTTTGATCACTCTTCCTTCCTGCCCATGGTGCCTTCTTGCAGCCCAAATGGTTATCCATACACCTTGGGCCATTTTGTTTTTCCACGGTTTTGTGTTTATTCTTTTTAATAGGTGTGAGCTATCTGAATCCACTCAATTCAAAGATTTTGTATTTGCAGGCTACATTAACGGGCTAGAGGTGAAAACAAGGCATTTGGCTATTTCCCTGCTCCTGAGCTCAGCAGCACTGCATGACCCCGAAACCTAAATTAAGCTGTTCCTGTCACTCGCATGGAACAGCACACCCTTGAAGAGATGCACAGTCACAGAGAGCACGGCCTGTGCGCACAACAGGAAATGATGCTTTCTTTTCTAACAGCCATTTCTCATGCACAGTTCCGGGGATAACAGTGGCAATTTTCCACGTCATTTGCCTTTCCCCAGCTATTGCCACCCAGCAAACATTTGGAATGGACAGCAGGAAGACTCCCCCCTCTAGCCACATGTGGCCATCCACCCAGCTGCAGCCTGCTGCACACTGAACAGCAGGCAGCGCCCCAGCTGCTCACACACAGTGGTACACGAGCACAGCTGTTGGCCTTTGTTCAACTTCTATGGCCAAAAGAGAAAGTGTATACACGTATATACACACACAAGGAACCTGCTTTGCAGGGGTTGGACTTGATCCCCAGAGATCCCTTGCAACCCCAATGATTCTGCGACATGCAGAAACACTAAAAAACACATTATTCCTAAGTCTTGGAAGAAAGTTTTGTTTCTTTCACAGATCAGGACAGCTGACCCGCTGCCTTTCAGCCATTTGGGTAGTGCCATTCCCCCCTTTTGTTCCCTAGATTTTTCTCCTGTAGAAAACAGTAACAATTCAGAACTTCAGGATACTTTCAGCTATAATGTTACTGCAATAATTATTTTCCGTAATACCTTTCCAATATTTCCTTAAGTGATTTTCCCTCTGACAGGCAGAACTCCTTAAATGGCTACATACTTATCCTTTCTGAAATCATTTGCTATCATAAATTACCCACTACAACAGTCTAGGATGGTTTATGTTATTTAGAAAGATCCTCCCAAAGGCATTTTAGCAGCTGTGGATGCTTAAGGGGAAAAAAATAAAATAAAATCGTGTTATATGAACCCAAATGAATTTGGAATTAAAAAAAAAAAAAAAAAAAGTCATTTGAAGGAAAGATGCCAATTACTTTGAGAAGAACTGAAACCCAGGAGGGAGCTGGAGCCCTCCCATGGCTGGATAAGGAAGCAAAGATCAGCAGCCCAGCAGAGGCGGCTTAACACTCAGCCAGCACTACAACCCTATGCATCTGAGGAACTTGTGAGGAAAGAGGAAAAAATATGTATATATTGAGTTGCCTCCAGGCTGAATTACCAGCAACAGTCTGGGAAATCAAAACCACAGTCTTTGATCTATCTGCTCAAGATCTTCAGAAGTCCACTTGCAAACATCTAGCATCACTTCACAACTTGGCCCTCAAACCCACAAACTCAAAGCTTGAACACCAAATGGAGGCACTAATACACCTGGAGAGTAGAACTGTCAGCACCTGCCAGCTGTAAGTAAGGTTTTAGCATAGCTGGAGCTCTTCAAAAGTGGGAAGTGAAATGGCAAGTCATTGCTTTACAACTGAGCTGGCAAGCCGTGTGCATCAGGGCAAGCGTTACCTTGTCCAGAGACAGAAACCAGCAGCAATACTAACATGCAGAAAAATAAATCACCAACACATGGATATCACTAATAGCTGAGCAGTCAACCAGAATCTTCCCCATCTGCCAACACAAGGGCATGGCTATTAACACAGAAAATCATCCAGATATCACTCAGGAGCAGCACAGGCAGGGCGCACATCCCAGCCAAAACTTCCCCCGTAAAGCAACATTTTGAATGTGCTTTCAACTAATTAACTCCCATTCTTCAACTGCCACATTCTCATTTGTTGGTCAATCCACTGATTTACAACTAGACGTTATCGAGGATCAGACTGATAAAAATGAAAACCTGCTTTAAAAACTGGACATACGGCGCCTGATTTGTGAAATTAATTTTATTTTTGGAACATGATATCCAATTACAAATAAATAATTCATACAGCATAACTCAATTAGGATATACGATGCTCAGGCAGGTCCTAGTAACAACCAAGATCACATTGAAAAGGAGTTTAAATTAATTAACCAATTACAGAAATATACAACTGGTCGCTCAATTGGTTTCTCAGCCCAGTCCAAGGTGTACACAAGTTGAAAAGAGTTCCTCTTACCAGAAACAGATGTACACAAATTAATACCAACTCCAAAGTAGTTACTGCACCACATGAGGAAAAAGGCTGCACCGCGTGGCCGACACGTAGCTTTGGTGCAGAATGAAAGCTTGTACATTCTAGCAGGATACAGACTCACCCCACAGCAGTTTCTGCAGACAGATTCACAAGCTTTATGGGATGTTTTTGTGCATGGTTTCAACCACACGACTTCTTCCACATCCTAGCCACCAAACCGCAGCACGAGGATATGTGTTATGTTCTTACCTTCAGTTCCACGTTGTTCGTTGCTTTCACTTCGGCCAAATATTCTACTGCTAAGCTACAGCTTCCCACTGAGGTATGGCTCTTACACGTGCAAACTGCAGTAACAGCAGCATCAGTAAACTCAAAAGGCCTTTGCTGACACTATTTTTTAATTTCCTGATCTGTTCCACGAATCAATATCCCCCACAAAGAACATTTATCATGACCAGATTGAATTCAGTCTGAAGTCCTGATAAATGTATTAAGTGGTTATGGGACTTACAGGACATTCACAGCATCCTTGGAAATTCTTGGACAGCCAAGATTTTTTATAAATGAAATACATTTGTATGCTACATAAATTCTCACAACAGAGAAAGTAGTTACCGTTTCCAATGGTCCAAAATTCTGCAAGATCTGTATTTACAAAGCTCTGTTAAAAATTCCACCGTCCATTTGGGGCCCTCAGGTGAGGTATAAACCCTTTGTTCTTAATTTGAATTCAGATTGTTCAAAAGTTACAGCTCTTCTCGTTGCAGAATTCCCCACAGGATGAAGACTGCTACTGCTAACCAAGCACTTCTCATAGCTCACTCTACGGCTGCCTACAGCATTTGGGACACTTGCATTATGTCCCTCGGGTGGTTCTGCTGTTTCTTTTTCACACTGGCCATAGGAAGTCTGAAAAAAGGGAAGATACCAGGCAGATTGCTGGCTGGTGATAATGCACCGTGCATCTACACCAGTACTACCAGCATTCCAAACTCCCCCCAGCTGTCTTTCAGCTCAACAGTGCAGTGCACATGGTGCAAATGTGGTAGCAGCCCCAAATTCCTACCAGTCGCAGCACTCACTGGCCTCCAGGGAAGAACAGAACGCAGAGCAGTGTTACATTGCCACACTCACAAGTTTTTTAAGCTCATCCAAATATTTTAAAAGTCTTTCAAAACTTCAGCACTGAAGCTTAAATTGATGAACCACTTCAACTTCACATCCCATATAAGTTCTGCAATGAATCTGATTCCGGAAGGAGGAGGAACTATGTATACTGATATCAATGTTAAACATAAAAAACCTGAACTGGAAAAAAAAAAAAATCAAATCAAATACAGACTGCAACTCAATCAGAGAAAAAAAGACAACTACTAATACCAAATTATTTCAGTTTCATTTACACAATTTACCCAAAACTGCATGTAAACTCTGGAGTAACAATTTCCAATTCCTTCTGAATTTACCAAATAAATCAAACCTGCTGCACGATGCACCAAGTGTTACACACAGTAACAGTACTTGAGTGGTTTATTAATTTTCACCAAAACCACTTGAGCAATGCACGGCCTGTGCTGAGTGCAAACATCTTAAGAAACAGTTGATGGAGGGCAGACACATCTTGACACTTCCCTTCAGTCCTGGCAAACTTCCACATCCTGACAGTTCATTTCCAACATGAATCTTTACCTATTTGTCAGAAAAAATCATCTATTATCCAGGTATCCAAAGGCATCACTCTTATAAAAGCAGTTCTGTTTTTTTTGTATTTCCATTTCACCTGTTACACCACAAACATAAGTCTTTTTCATAGGAGAGGAAATTGATGATAATACAACAAAGCACACAAACCTTATCATTTTTCCAAAACTGAAACCTACTGGATAACATTCAATTGCTTTGAAACTGCTTTCTGTAACCAGTGGAAAGTGTTAATTGAAATAACATTTCAGAATACTTTTTAAAGAGAATTCACACATTGAGGAACTTCCACAACAGCCACATCAAAACTCTGAGTGCTAGCAGCAGGAATTCCCTTCCCCAAACCAACCTTCTGCTGTTCAGAATGGCCACATGCTGCCATTACATGCTATTAAGTAGGTAGCAACAAGACTTCAACTTTTAGCACTGCCAGTATGATACACGCCAGAATTGTCTCCAAATTAACACCATTTTTGTATTTGCTCCATCACAAAGTTGAGGGATGTGTATTTTTTCACAATGACGTAACCCTGATTATTTTCTTTCTAGAAATATTTTGAGAATAAAACTCAAATCCGAAACAAATCTAAGTGTTGTCACTGAAGATGAAAAGATTTCTGGTAACTCTTCAAACAATATTCACATATCTACAGCAAAACAGAAACTGAGACTCCTTCCCAACGTAAGAATTTTGGTGTAATGATTAGACAAGTAACATAAATACAACTCTGGCTGACAAATACCTCAAATATCTGTCTTTGAAAGGAACAAAAAACAAACCTCTGAATAGAAGAACACAACATTAAAAGGGAGATTTGTAATGGCACAAAGGGCAGCTAGGCACTGTGTGAACTGAGAACATAACTGCTATTAGGACTTCAGCCTCCCCTCTCTCCAGTAAGATCTGGGATGCAGCTAGCACAGAACAGGGCTGTTATCATACTTGTACAAACCAAACAGCAAACCCACTCTGTTGTCCAAATCTAACAAGAAAACAGAACAGGATTTGTTGCAGTCTGTCTGCTAGACACTGTCAAACGTACAAAGCATTAATTTAAATTAATTCTGAGAGTTCTTATTAGCTCCATGCAGTTCAACTACTGTACGGAATGATCACGAGCTACTTCAAGAAGGGGCTTCTGCATTTGAGAGATTATTCCTCCATTTCATTTCTGCTGTGTTAATAAGTGTTATTTAATACAAAAGATGCTCACTAACACCTGCACAGTTACCCACCTTTATGCAGAGCTGTGCCATGACCATCTTTTCACTTTCAGACAAAAATAAAAGTAACCATTAGGCACATATTAAGGATGTTTTAAACAAGCTGTAACGTCAAATGTTTTTCCCTCAGATTCACACAGAAAAATACCACAGCAGCAAATCATCTGGTCCTCTGTTCAACAGTGACATCATTATAAGCATTTTTAATTTACAGAATGTCACAACATCAGTACATTATCTTGAAATAGTTAGGTAAAAAAAAGGCCCCCAGTATCACCATTTCTTACACGGCCAAGTTCTCCCTATATACATCCAAATGTTAAAGATACAAATAAAACATTATACAGGATTTATAAATGTTTAAAAACTTGAGGCTTCAGAATCATGGTTTCCCAAAAACAGTCAGGAAAATCCAAGAACTGACAAGGTAGCAGAGAAAACTGGATAAAAAAGGAGACAGACACAAGTTTGCTGCCGTAAGATTTTACTAAACGCGCTGGTCATCAGGGTGATGTTATCAGAAATAACAGTTTAGGCTTCAAATGAGGAATGGTGGTTTGGTGTTTGATCTCAAGTGCTGAGACAGGCAATTCAAGTATTTCCTATTTGATCCAAGCTCACTGTAGCAACGTGGTGCAGAGAAGCACTTATTTGACATGTGCCCCGTACATCCGGTCGATGTCCCCCTGGTAGTGCGCCGTGAGCTCCTTGCGTTTCAGTTTGAACGCATCTGTCACCAACCCAGTCTCGGGGGTCCAAGGATCAGGGCTCAAACGGATCTTTACTGGTATTTCAAATTTCTCCAGATTAGCTACAGAAGAAGATAATAATAATAAAAGTCACACAACTGTTTTTAAATACTAAACACGACGTAAGCATTTGGAGACAACTTTATACAATCAATAAGAAAAAGTGAGGATCCGTATTCTCACACAGAGAAGCATACGGTATTACTGAAGAAGTGCTCCACAAATTCCCTATGGTCAGGCTCAAAAAACCCCAGAGAGATCATACACAGAGCTGTAGGATCTACCAGTGCTCATTTTCCAGTTCCCACAGAAATAGTGGAATAAGCCTCAGATGTTTGGCTGCCTGTGCTGTTCCCTAGCTTCAGAAAAGCCTCAGTGCTTACTTTAAACCTTATGATACCAAAGGGAAAAACAAAACCATATACAATAACACAAAAGTGTATGTAAAAAGTGCCTCAGGATTAAATCAAATATTCTGTTTCATCCATTTTAACGAAATAGTTGCAACAATAGAATCTTCTTTGAATAGTTAGTGCCACTCAAAAAAAAAAAAAAGAAAAAAAAAAGGCAATGTTGTACATCCCAGCAGCTGCTTAGAACTTCCCTGTATGCTCTGTGCCTTGAAGAAAGATCTACTAGAGATGTGGACAAGAAAATAAAAGTCTATTGCTCTACTGAGTCTGTATTCCTCATAAGATTATGTTCCAGCAGCACAAATGTGCAAATACACTACTTGCACAGCTTAAGGTATTCACAATATGAGTGTGAAGGAGAGGTGAAGGTTAACAGGACAGACTGCTGGAAGTACAGAATTATTCAGGGGAGAAAAGATGAAGGCAAGATGCAAAGAGCTACAGAAAGACATCACAGTACTGAATGACTGCAAAACACAGCAGTGGAAAACACTGAAGAAAGACGTAGAAGGGGATGCATAAGAAAAATTTAACCTCCACAGTGACTATTTAAGAAACATTCTGTGGCAATAACACAGTTATATGACAAAAGTTTGGCTCTTAGTAATGGTCAAAAGCAAAAAAAAAAAAAAAAAAAAAAAAAAAAAAAAAAGCAGAAATTGTTATGTAAGGAGAAACAGAATATCACTGTGCCACTGAATAATTCCACAACCAGAACAGCTAAGTAGATTACAAGCAATTAGCATGATAAAGACACAGCTGAGAGGGAAGCATAACAGGCACTGAAAAAATCCGACTGCATTGAGACCATTCACTGCCTCTTCCAACACAAGAGCTCAGCAGAACCAAATGACCCTAGCAGATGGCAGGGATAAAATACACAGGAGGCATTCCTTCACCTTTAACATCGCTGAACTGAGCAATCCTGCCACAAGACAGTATGGATACTGATATTTATATAACTTTAAAATATGACTGAGGCGTTAATCAAAAAAAAATGTACTGCTTTGTATTTAGGAAATCCCTGAAGTGTAAGACAGGAGAGCCCACATCACTGTGGGCTTTTCTCAGTCACCTACATGTAGGCAGGTAGCACGTGAGACTGTCTAGTACTCAACACAGACGTATTATGGGTCTATAGAAGACCCACGTTCTTCTGGACTAGCAGCAGAAGGCCAAGATGACACTACAGAAAATCCTAAACAGCATTAGACACAAAGACATAGTGAACCAAACTGTGCTTGCTGCATTTGCTCTGTTAGTATATTCTTTACTTGGGTACTGGCCACATTAAAAAGTTACAAGACGACATGAACCATAACTAATCTGGTTCTCTGACCCACTCATGCTTTGCTGTTTACTTTTGTATGGAAATTTCACTCTATGTATGTTCTATGAATACATAATGAAATGCACATGCACAAGGAAATATTTTTAGGGTGTGTGCTTATCCTTTTCACAGACACTTACTGTCCACAAGTCTACTAACAATTATCCAGCCACTCACCTGCCATGGCAGCCTCAGCTAGCACCTTCAGTACCTCTTTTTCCATCTCTGGACTGTTACAGATTTCTTCCCAGGTTCCTTTAAATCCTTTCTTCCGAGCTAGTTCTGCAAGCTCCTTTTGATTTGGCACAACAAATCCAATGACGTAAGAATGGAAACTGAGAAGTATAATGTATTTCAGTATGAATTTTGTGAAGTTAATGACTCATCAAAAATAACATTACAGCTGGAGGATATTGCAGTTCGTACAAGGATATGGCTCTTAACAACTGACTTCTGTTCACCTGATTATCTTTCTGAAGTAGTACACAAATCACCTCTGCCTACTTAGAAGTAAGTAGAAAGAGAAGCTACTTACCTTACAGCAACTGGATTGCTTCAAGGTGTGCTGTCCATATGCATATTCCACTGTGCCTCATGCTCAAAGCTTTGGGGAAGCAGTACCCATACGATGTCAATGCGCCCTGCCTCTCCTCATGCTTTGCATCTTGGGATGAAGACAGGTGTGCAGCTTCCCTACCTCAGTTTCCTCTCAACTGCAGAAATCCAGTTACTGTAGAGGAGCAGAGGACTGCAGTGAAGAGGGGTTGGAGAGCAGATTGTGGAATAAGCATATGCACAACACATCTCAAAGAATGCCTGCTTCTGTAGGGGAAGTAACTTCTCTTTCTCTTTCAAGTGGTTCTCCACACGCTCTCTACTGTTGGCAATCTTTGACTACTTCTGATAAGTCTAGAACATTCAAAGCCGTTATCTCAAAGTCTTTGGAAAACAATGAAACAACTGCCCCTGAAACAAGTAATTGAGATTTTTCAGATGATGAAAAGCTTAAGGAAAACGTGAACAGAACCTTACGTATAGAATTGCTATGCAACTCATTTCTCTCCTTTCCACAAAAGCCATTTATCACAAACTGCAACTGTTTTTGGTTGGTTGTTTTGTTCTGTTTTTACTTCTCAACTTTCTTGTCCCTTTTCCCCTCTTGAACTTCTTTAGGAGTCTAAGCAATACCCCTTCCTCATTGGTTATGCCTCACAGAGCTCCAATCAGCTGCAGTTCCCAGTTTTCTTCTGGACTCTTTTTAGGTCATCCACCTTTTCTGAAGTGTTGTGTCCAGAACAGAAATTGTATAACACTCAGTAAAGCAAAAAGATCACTGTGCATCTGGTTGGTTACACATTTCATTATGCCACGTATTTACCTGGGTGCAACAGCATGACATTTGGTGATCAATATCAATTCCTACTGAACTACTACCAGCTGGTGTTTCTTTATACGCATACAAAAAAGATAACAACAGTACTCTGACTATAGTGATCTTACTAAATAATAAAAATTAGGTCAGCGAAGAAGAAATTATCAACAAAATGAATAAGTATGCTTTGCTAGGTTAAGCAGTAAAAGATGGCTCTTCTACTTTCAAAATGCTTCAGACTGACTAGACAAATCTGTTTTAGATATTCTTATTCTTGGCCATTTCAAAAATTAGTTACGATTACTTCACATGCATTCACAGATGTTTTGCCAAGTATTACATAGTACATGTGTCAATTGCAGGAGAATCACTGAAATTTAACAGCCTTTTAGAAGTATTCTAGTACACTGCAGACATCATGTTTACCTTGGAAAAATCAGCAACAAAATTGACAGTGCACTTCTAATAATGAACTCCAATCCCAGCATTGCAGAAATGACCATCTGTAGAAGACTATGTCCACCAATTACAGAGAACACTCAGAACATGCATGTAACTTCATGCAGCCACATCTGAGATGTGCCCATTGGGTGAAACCCACAATGAAAGCTAAATATCGTGAAAGTTTCTCAGCAGTGTTGTCTCCAACACCTATTTTTCCAAAACTGTCAAAACTGATGTCACACCATCACTGTTAGTTACAAAATAACACAGAAGCAGGTGAACAAACCAGAAGCTTATTTTTTTATCCACTACTACTGAGCAATTCCCTGCTGTCTGCTCCAGTTGCCTTCAAAGTTAAGTGGAATTATAGGGGCCCATACTGAACAGAGCATTTTGGATTGCTGAGAAGCTCCAAAATGACAACAGGAAAAAAAGACCATCTGAAGTATGTTTAAACATGTAAGTCTATACTATGTATAGATAGGAAATTCTAGAAATAGAAAATTAAGATATGTTTGAGCCCTTATATGCCTAATTTAGTAGTACAGTTAGAAAGTAAATTGAAAGCACATTTATCACTATTTGTTAGTTGTGAGTCTGCACAGTATTTACAGTGCTTTCAATTCAAGCTTCAGGGTTTCTGTTGGTGATCTGCATGGGTGCAAGTCAGCTTGTGGGCCATTGGTTTTACTTTTACTCCCCCCCTTCCTCTGAAGAACAGATCACAGCTAAATAGAGTAAAGAGCAAGATGTGCTAGGGCTTGTCTAAGGACTAACTCTAAAGTGCTTGATTAATCATGAAAGCAGTCAGTTGCTTTTCAGACTGGGAAAGAGGGAAATTAAAGACTTATTTCTGGCATTTTTCAACAAATGGTGGGAAAAGAAAAATAAAAGAGATATCATTCAGATGTTTTAGTTTTCACAAAGAACACTAGTCCATTGTGTTTTAAATAGGAGTTGAAAATATCCACACTTTGAGGGGCAAAACATTTTGCTTAGAGCTTCAGGAAGAGCTCTAAAAAAGAATACAGCAATATCAAAACACCAGCTGCCTCTCACCTGCTTGCGTATGCACAAATGTTATCTACCAGCGGAAGATTCTTCAGAGCTGCTTCTACTTTGCCAAGAGAAACATATTCTCCTGCTTGGAGTTTTACAAGGTCTTTTTTACGATCTATTGACGAAGAAAGAAATCTAATGTTAGTTATGCAACACTGAATTTTGACATTGATTTTATACTTCTCTGAGATGTATGTATACACGCCAGAAAGCAAGCTGACTCATGTTTGGAGTAAGTTCTGGAAGCATTTAATATCAGATTTACAGACTTCAATTTCATTAACCTATCCCTCACTACAACATGAACCACATTTCATCTGCACAGATTTTCTGCCTATAAATCAGCACCTCCTATATCACAGTACTGGCACGTGAATAATGGAAGACAATTAGAATTGCAGAAAAACCAGTGTCTGACTAGAAACACACACTGTGCTCTCTCAACCAGATGTCTGAGGCAGGAGGGAAGCAGCATTTGGTGACATTTGGCTGTTTATTCTTAGACTAAATCCATATTGAAAAAGTGACTACCTGTTATTTGAAACACAACAACAAGTGAAACTGAAAATTAAGCCAAAATTACTTGAGCTTATTGTATGCAGCCCAAAGAAGGCCAAAAGGTGGAGGGCCAGACCCACCTGGCTACGATGGCAGCCAAGATTGCCTCTTACTTGTTGTATCTGTATGCTTTTTGGTACAGTCAGGCAAAGCTCTGTAGCTTTTACCTGTTTGACCAACGAAGGGCAGCTGCAACGGGACCGAAGCTTTTGTTCATGTAATAAAACACATAAGCTTAGTTTTCAGGACTAAAGAGCAGCTTGAATCACTCTCTAACTTCAAGAGAGACAACTGGTAGTTTATAGAGCATTTTGACACCCATAGACATTAAAAAATTAGGAGCCTATCACAGGTTTACGTGTATCACCTTTGTCTTAGTATATTCTTCCACTAGTTCCTTTAGAATAAAGGAATATACTTATTCTAAAGAATGGAAAGACTAAATAAAAAAACCACACACACACAACTTATTTAATTCCTGAAAACATGTCACCAGAGAAATATTTTCACTTAATCAGACTCCACACTTAAAGAAAAAAAAAAATTATAAGATGTAAGACAGTTTATTTGTGTCAAGTCAGCTTGTATTTAGCTACTTACTACTCAGTCAAGTTAACAAAGTAGAGTCAATGTTAAGATTTTAATAGAAAACAATTATCTTAAAAATTATCCTTAAAACACACAATTGAGTTTGTTACAGTATCAGAGTTTGCTTGGGATGTATCATAAGACCTTAAACTGTATGCCAGAAGATATACATTTTTTGTTATCTACAGCAACGAGCAGCCCTGAAAAACAGATGTGCATATACATATACATATATATGTTTACCTGAATTTAAGAACTCACCAATAATTTTTAGACATCCATCTTGATGAAACTCTCCAATATCTCCAGTATGGAGCCACCTCTGCCCATTCTCATCAATAGTGAAATCCTTTCTGGTTCGTCCTTCATTTTTATAGTAGCCTACAGTCACATTTTGCCCTCCAATAAGAATCTCACCTCTAGGATATGGCTTATCAGTGTTGTAATATCCACCTGAGAATTGTTCCAGTTACCAAGAATTAAAAATACATTCCAAAGCAAGAATCCCTACTACTTTGTATTCAAATACCAACAAATTTAGTAAGCCCTTAGCCAAAGTTACCACTTGAAAACTCAGTGTAAGTAGTTCAGTAAGAAACACCTTGTTCCAATTCCTTCCCGCATATAAACAGCTATTTAACAGGCATGCTTACAAACAGCGAAACTCAAACATATGTGGAGGAAAAATGCCATGCCTGTGCAATTTTTGTTTCTATTTTTGGCCAGGACTGACACACACCATCAGCCTCCTACAGGCTCACGTCAAAAAAAGAAAATTTTCACTTTATATTTTAGAAACAAAACCCACCAGAATCTGAGGTTTCACATTTTCCCTAAATTCCCTTAAGTACTATGCAGGGATACTCTACAATACCTCAGAGGAAATGGTCTAAACACATTCAAATTTCATTAAATGTATTTTATACAGCTTCCACTAAACTTCCTTTCTATACGTCACTGTTTTGCCTTTTATTAATAATATTAGGAAGACTATTTTAAAACTTACTAATGGCAAAGCAGATATCATGCATGTGCTTTAGTTAAAGCCTACTGAATCCAACTACTCCAAGAGACAACACAAGACTTGCACCCCCTCCTGTACGGGTGGCTTCTCCAAATTGCATTACAGTGACCGGAATAAAAGCCAAAATGTAACCTAGTCAAAACATTATTCATGTGTTGACAGCTTCTGTCTATGTACTTTTTTAAATATAAAAAATGGTTTCAAACATAGAAACTGCTCTCCCTGAAGATTTTGTCTATATAGGTAAAGGCAGGATTAAGAAGAAAAATAATCTTCTAGTAAATACTACCAAGCAAACTCCAATAGAAACTAGCTTAAAGTTCTTGCAAATACACAAATATTTAATCACATAAAAAATTTCTCACCTTCTTCCCAGTTCATTAACTTGATTTCACAGCAAACCAAAGGTGCTCCCACTCTCCCTGTAGTGTAGTCCCAAACTACAATGTTAAAAAAAAAAGGAATTTCCAGATTAAAAAAAAAAAAAGAGTAGAAAAAAATTTACGTTGTCATGTACTTTGTTTACTTTATTCATTTATTTTATTCCTGAAGTTTAATGTATACAATAGAACAAAACAAACAAGGTAATAAGCATAAAACTTTTATCCTGCAAGAGAACAGATGTCTTTATTTAGAAGTAGCTCCAGCCACAACAATAAAGCTCTGATGATAAGCTGCCCACATGGATCACACTGCAGAAAGCATCACAACTTTTAATAGTACTTGCATTGACTTTGAAATGACATTTCATAAAAACTTGAAGATTCTACTTTTTGATCCACTTTCCTGCTTTCAGTCCCCAACACTTCTGCACCTGAGCACCTTCACAGACAGAATTACTGGAAAGGGCAACACTCATATTACAATTCCACCATTACTTTCCCTAAACTTCTGAAGAAACTAGTACCAAAAACCACATACCACAATCTGTGGTCATCAAGGAACATAATACACGTTCTACAATCGAGCATAATCTAGCAGTGAGCCTCAGATACATCATTCCACTGCCAAAAAACAAAAAGAAACAAAAACAAAAACAGGAGCTCTGAGTAGTTTTGCCACCACAGAATGAGCGAAATTTTAGGACTAAGGGGCAAATGGAATCATGAAGTTAAAATTCAGCACAGGTTTTTGCATTCCATTTTCTTATTACTGTTATCTTCCTATTGTTTCTATACACTCACCAAAATATTCACTTCAGCCAGTAAATACAATGCTGCCATTCACACTATCACAAGTGAGAACGCTGATTCTCTATGTAGGCCATCACAACGCGTCAAAATTAAAATGTTTCATTAATTTTTTGATGCAGAGAAATTCCCAGGATTCCCCAATTCTATTTTAAGGCATAAACCAAATGAAGGCACTGTCAAAGATTATCAATGCAGAGCACGCAGCATGCATCACAGCACCCCGCACAACCCACCAACACCAACCTTCTGTGATCGTTCCAGCTCCAGCTGATTCAGTGAGCCCGTACCCCTGCCCTACAGGGCAACAGAAACAAATGTTCATAAATCGCTGAGTGGCTGCAGAGAGTGGAGCTCCTCCACAAAGCAGGATGCGAATTTTTCCACCTAGCAGCATTCGTACTTTCCGGAAAATAAGGCTAAAATACAAAGATACGAATATTCATGGCTTAAAAACAAAACAACGGAGTATCTGATTTTGTATTTGAGATTATTTCACGTGGCAAGACTTGAGACACATTTTCTGATGCCATTAAAAATAAATTTACAATTACCTATCGCAGAGCGGGGTCGTGTAGCCTTTGGAAATCTGTTCCATTTTGTAATTATAGGCCAATATAAATAGATTTCGCTGGAAACTCGTCATTTCATTTACCTTATTCATGACATTTTTGTAGATTCGATCCATAATTTCCTAGTTAAAGAAAGACCAACTCAAAGTAAAAGAAATCACGCAACCAATACAAGAAAATGATCTAGAAACTACAGTATAGTTCAGACAACCAACCACTCCCAGCTGCTTCCTCTTCCATTAGTAAAACATAACAAAACACTAAAATTAAATGAGGAGAGCAAAAATCTGAACAGGATCACTGTTCAATCCCAGTCTGTCTGCTGTCAACTACCCACCTCCTATGAAGTATTACACAACACAGAGTCCATTTCTCTCTTCACTACCATCTTGCACTGACATCACAAACTAATGTGAAATCTAGCACACTGCTAAACAATCAAATACTGTCCTGAACAGGTTACAATACAGGAAATATAGCCTCTCTTCCCAGAAAAGATTTAGTGACACAAAGTAAGTCTGTGTCTATGGCTATTTTCATCACATGGTGGCTGTTTCCAAATCACGTATGTATCATTATGTGTGGTTCTCTGTCTTTATATCTCATATACATATGATTTATAAACAGCCTTTGTGAAGAAAGTATACAGACATGTAAATACATAGTATGTGCATACATATATACGAGCATATTATGATGAACAGATAAATAAAATGGCAGTGTAATCCCCACACCTATTTAAACTTTTTCAAAGTTTATGATACTTACATTGAGAACAAACATCATCATATAAAAATAAATATCAATAACATTATTTTATGCTACCTTCACATCCAAGATTCTACTTTTTATTTTACATTTACTTTAATGATAAAATTTAAATTATGAATTACATTTTTAACACATTGTTATATCCTTCAGCAACTTACCGGCACAGCTGCCATTAGAGTTGGTTTAAGTGTAGTAACATCACCTTTGCTTCCTTTCTTGATTTTAGAGGACTAAAATGAAGAACAAGTTCATCAGCAGGCACATTTCAAGACTTTTAAGAAACAAAATGACATAGCACATCTTCCAAATGATCATTTTAATTTTCTTGTCAACAATTAAACTACCTCAGTATATCAGTCATAACTGCCAATATCCTGTTTCCTGGGATCTATAAGCAAGAACTGACACAAGTAATTTTTTTTTCTTCCCTCTCCATATGGGCTTACATCAAGACCATACCTGGTCAGCCAGTGTCTGAGGTGAAGAGTAACCAATGCGGCATCCATGAGACAGGCACACAAGTTCAGCACTCAGCTCCAGAACATGGGCAAGAGGCAAGTAGCCAATATAAATGTCTTTTTCCCTAAAAAGAAATTTTGAGAGAGGTTTATACCATACCATTAAAGTCACTAAGCCAAATTTACTCAGAGCTTTCAGAAGAACTGTAAGAGGAAGAATGCCTATGAGCTTATGACCATACTTCAAGTATGATAGGCTTTGTTTCAAAAATTGCCTAAGTAGCATTGTAGGTTTACAGCATGCATGAAGTGTGATGTTTACACATCCCAAGACCGTTAGCTGTGCTAAAGCGGCACAAGCAACTCTGCAGATGATATTAAAATCTGCACCAAGCAGAAACAAACCACAGAATGCAGCACTTGCTAAAGAAGTGACTGCTGAAGGCAGATTTCAACCACACTGCAAGGCAGCTTCACAGGCTTTGCGTCCCAGTCTTTCCAGTGTACAGATGATGAGAAAGACAGCACATGGAACACTCATGGCATTTAACGCAGTACTGGAAGATGCTCAGACATCAGTGCATAATCTGATGGGTCAAAGACACTTCATATTTTACACAATAATTATATGCAGCTACCCACGTGCATCTTTGAGTAAGAGTTGGCACATACCCCAGATTTGGAATCCTTTCAGCCATTCCAGTTATACCAGCAATTATGTTGCAGTGGGAGATCATAACTCCTTTGGGAATTCCTGTGGATCCACTTGTATACATGATCACTGCAATATCAGAAGGTACAGGCCTGGCCTGCTGTTTGTTTCCTGCAATTTTCATTAAAAAAAAAAAAAAAAAAAAGAAAGAAAGAACATACAATGCATGGAAGGCCTACCAGATTTGAAGATCTTACAAGCTAACATACTAGAGCAATTGTTCTAATATAATACTTGTGACTATTGCTACTACATTTTGCTTTCATTTGAAAAGACTGTGGTCATGCTTAAAGGCCTTCACAAAAAGAAGGAACTTTTTTGTATGAGCTGAGTAATACTTCCAGTGATTGCTCCAGCCTACTGAAACAACATTTTATCTTCTGTTTCCTGTATTCCTGTTGAGGACAGAGAAATGGGCAGATCTTCATTTCTCCAAAATGCCTCTCAGCTTCGTATGCTTATAAAAAAGTATGCTGCACTGGTTCCAAGCTTGTACAAGGTAAATCCTCATATACAAATCTACTTTGCAATGCACTTCCCAGAAGAGGAACAACACACTGCTTCATCTGTAGCAGTCAGGGCATGGTTCTGCTGGGCCAACATGAGCTGCAATTTCCATAAACATTTAAATTCAACAGCTTTAATAGGATTATTGTTTTCAAATACTTGCACTGAAAACAAGAAAATATGAAAACAACTGTGTACTCAAAGGAAACGCTGCATAATGCGCAATACACGCAGCACAACATGTACACTCTATGAGAACACTGAAAGCTTATTTGAAAGTTCACACTCACTGAACCCTGTCCATCCTGCACAGTGACCAACACAGAGGAAACAAGATAAAAATAAGCTCCTTCACTTAATATGTGAGTAGAACTGTCTTGAGCATAAATAATTACTTGTAGTATTCCATAGTTTATGAGCGGCTAACTCAACAAAGGTAATGTTCTTTTACTACAGCTTACAGCACACAATGTCTGAAAGACTGGAGAAAGAAGGATTAGACACCTTTTTACAAGAATTGAGGGGCCATCATGTCAGCAACAAACCTGACAGTCCCCTAAACATCAGCAGCAGATGGGCTGATCACTCATAATGCTCCTAAAACACAACTAATCCCAACACTCACATGCTTTCAGTGATTAAAATACTCTGACAACACAGAAAACAAGAAGTATTGAATACAGTGAAATATTGAGGTACTTTAAGACTGCTCTTCAGAGCTGAATAAAAATTTTGCCATGACAAGTCAATTAAAACACCTAAGGTTCCATCTTCTAATTTTCAAAATGTTGTGAAGGTCAGAAATAGATCTCAAGAAATCAAGATCGTAGATTGATACTTTCAGAAATATAATAGAAGTGACCAAGTTCTATCAGATGTAGGTAACCATTTTACATTTTCTTATTTGTTAGATTCACAAAACTTCATGGCAGCAATTTGCTGATGCTTTCTGCTATAAAATGCAGAATAATTTTCCCTGTGTGGCTTAAATAACCTGTTCCCAAATAAAACTGACCATACGAATGTGTTTTAAGTTTCTGCCCTGGCCTAAATGCTTATCCTAAATATTTTTCTTCAGCATGTGTGGTGCTTGCTTGGGGAAAAGACCACTTTTATTAAATGCATTTTATTAACTGCACAGTTTTCTGAGACCTGCAATTTTTCCAAGTTTACTTAACAGTAAACCAAGTAGGATCAAATTAGGACAGATGAACCAAACAGAAAGAAAAGGTAACCTACCACTGTCTGCCTTGGCTCCCATAGCTTGCACAGAAGCCATAGTGTGAACAATGACACCCTTGGGAAATTCTGACCACGTTGTTGGTTTGCCATCCACTGTAATAATATGTCGCAGCCGTGGAATTTGAGAAACAATTGCCTGTAGAAATTCACACGTCAATCGTGAGGTTTGAGCAAACAAGAGAAAAAGTTATCTACTGCATACATTAAAAAAGAGGCATAAAATATTTGAGGATTTAAAATACAGAGCATAAACTTGTCTAGCTTACATGGCTGCAAAGGTTGAAGCTTTCCACATTCAGATTTGTAGGACTAATTGAACTTTCCATTTGTATGTCCAAACATTTCTCCAACAATTTATTAATCAGGGTCTTATTTCAAGAGAAGCACACACTTAAGACTACGAAGATTAGCAGAGATTGACTATCCACTCTCACAGAACCCCAGAAGAAAAGGTCCTGGGCATCATGGAGCTCACAATAATACTTAGGTCACCACTTGATTACTGTGCTATCTGAAATAACCTACACCAAGCCAAAAACACAGAAAATGCTTAAGTACTGGTTAAGTATTTCAAGCTAACTATGAGTTCTAAAATAGCTACCAAAGTTCTAAAGAAAGACGACAGGACTCTCTAGCAGAAGAAATTTGTTTTCTTACAATGATTATTTATGCCAGCTTGCACTATATACAGTATCATTACAGTAATTCAAGAGAAAGAAATACAAAGTTTGGAAAATTCTCATTCAAAATGCAGCAATAATGCACAATTTTTTAATTAAACAACTGCCCTACATGAAAGATCCACTTCCTCACACTCATTGTAGCTTAACTCATACAAAAACATACTTCCACCTGTTCCACCTGAGTCGGTAAGGTCTCAAAAAACAGCAGGTATCCTGAACTCAGGGCTTTGCCAAATAAACAAACCATCACAAAGTTACCATGTGGCATTTGTTTCATAAACCTGCTGGCCTGGCAGTAACAACACAGGGATAAGTTACCTAAGCTGTGTGTCCTGCCGGCCTGTAGATTCCACAGCAGTTGGCCAACTGACATGCCACAGTAAGTAGCTGACACTGACTCAGTCGTACCCTCAAAAATCAAAGCTTACAGAGAAAGGAGCAATCAAATCTTAGAAGTCCTCCTTATGAAAACAGCTAAGAAACTGATCCAGCACACTGGAGTTTGAAACAAGGCACCTAGAACCCCTGCTGGTTCAAGCATGACATTAAGACTTTGAACTATTCTTAATGGATTGCAAGGATTTACTGGTTTAAATTAAATCATAAAGTTAAATACAAAATACATTTTGAGGGATTTTTTTTTTTAAATTAAAAAAAGCTATACTAATGTTTCATGGACTTTCGTTGCACTACAAAACAGCTCTGACTCTTCCAGCACCAATCTGGAGATGTAAGTCATCAATTCTCTGCTGGGAAAACATCCACAAATAAAGCAGGAGTATAATCACATACAGTTATTCTTATACAGTTTATACATTTTTCTGTTCCTCCCTCTTCCTTCAACAGTTGAGTTTATAGGCTCTAAATTCACCCAGAAAACACAGTTCTTGTGGAGGTGCTGTTTCAGACAGGACTGCAGCTCTTCAATAGCACAGATGGCTCATCCTGCTCTCAGAAGTCATCCTGGAGCCTGAATCCAAAAGCTATCATTTTTTATGTATATGAAACAGATACAAAGACCTCACTCTATAAGAAGTCTTTGCGCTACAGAATGGTAATTCATCATTTCATACACCTACCAAACCTTTTAACAATAATGAACAGATATACTGGAAAAAAGATACAAATAACACTTTCTGACCTTCAATTTTGTTTGCATCAGCTCTTTACTAGTAATGATGGTGGTCACCTCTGTTTCATTTAGCCCATGTACTATTGCTGCACCTCCTAGGGTAGCGTACAGAGTAACAACTGGAACAACAAAAAAAAAGAAACTGGTGAATCTTTACACTTTCAAGTACAGTTTACAATAAATGGCTGAGATTAACCTGCTCTTAGTTAGGCAAAGTATTTGTCAGCTATTACAAAGATGGTATAGTTTTGTGCTTTAAAAATACATATTACATGATTTAAATACAGCGTAATTTTCAATTAGAGTGGGAATAAAGAATAAGTAATGCATATGTGACTTTACTACTCCTCAAGCTCTAGTTACACATATTAAAACCATATTATCCTATTCTAGATCTACTATTGTATCTTCATGGTTTTTAATCATGCATCTGTACTCAATAAATCCATTGTTTAAACAGTTGTCTTGCACACAAGAAAGAAACTGCAAATATTTACTTGGCTCCTCTTTTCAGAAGTGTTGTCACTAGCCTAGACCGAATGCTAGTAAGAAATTATCAGCAGACTAATACCTACATTCAGTATTATGTCTGAGACTATCAAATTCTCCCATCAATTTAATAAATACAAATAAATAATAATCAATTTAATAACCACCACAATCACTAGACACTGAACTGACATCATGACAACACAGAATAACAAGAAAATTAAATACTTTGGAAATTGACTATTGGAAAAAACTGTCTCCTGTATGTAAGGGCAGCTCATCAGTGATGGAGCATTAATCCACAGTTATTTCACACTGACTATTTTAAAAAGCTCAATTTCATTTCCTGCCACTTTTATGGGAACTGCACGAGACAAGGAAGGAAGAGATCTGGGAGGAGAGGCAGCTCTAAAAGGAAGAGAGGAATGGCTCTCAAGAAAACAAACAAACAAGGTAATGTCTTTTTCCCCCAAGCATAACTCTAAACAGAGGTATAACAATTTAGTATAGCTCACATTTCAAAAATGTTATAGAATCAGGTATCGCAATTATTCATTACAGCAACATCAGTGCTCTAAGTTCCATAACATGAAGTATCTGACTTTCTTTTGTATTTCTTTTGTATGGAGTTACTCACTCAGTACAGCACAGTAAGGAAGAACTCAGAACCAGGCATTTCTTACACAGAGAAGTAAATAGTTGACCTCTATTTATTTTTTCCTTGTTCAAACAGCCTATCATAGTTCAGAACTGTTGCAGGGCAAACACACATGCACTGTGTTTTCTTTAATTTGGTGGGAGCAAAGTCCAGAAGAGTGCCTCCACTAGTTCCCACGAGCTCTCCCTCCTTACTTCAGTGACCCCTGTTATATAAACATCTTGCAGAAATTCAGCCTCCCCAGGCCAACAAGCACAACGGAGATGCTGTGCTGCTTGGAAAGAAAAGTATAAATCTCTGAAATAGCCATTTACATAATTACTCATCCAGAGAACAAATGCATCAAGGGAAAAAAACAGAGGTACACCACTTATAAGTTGGAGTACTTAAGATGGAGTACTGATGTCACAAGGAGAAACAAACCAAGTGGTGACAGAGTCACTTCTCTGCACTGGCACCTAAAACATTTTCAGGCATTCTGAAAGTGGTTCCAGTATTCCCTTCCCATCCCTCCTTTTTTTCCTTGAAGACAGACCAAAGCAGGATTATCTTTTGTGTTCATCTTTTCACGTACAATAATAAAACTGAGTATTAAATGCAAAGGGGATCTTACAATTTCTGCTACAGAAAACAATCTAATCTGAAAAAGAAAAAAAAAAAAACCAAAAATAAAGCAGTAACACTAAGTTTGCCAGCTAATCATACAGAATCTTGTCCTAAAGCAATAGGATTTTTTTCACCATTTATTTCAACCTAACTAGACTGCTGAACCCATCACACCTCAGAAAGAAAAAGTAAAGTATACCTTTACAGGCTTCAGCAAAACCAATTCTGACAAAAGCACTTCTGCTCAAGTTTCAGGAAAGTATAACAGAAAAACAAAACCATGACCTTTCCTATTTACTTCTTTATTTGATTATACACACCAGCTGTTGCATCTGCTCACACCACTGAACAACTTTGCAGATGAAGAGAGGATACACGACTTATGTAATTTCAAAAAGATGTAAATATGACAGTCAAGAACACACAGTATTTCTTATCATCAAGCCACTTGCATGGGCAATACATAGGAATGAATCTCTCTAATTCTGAAGTATAAAAGGCTCCTCTCTAACACCAAGTACAAGGCATGTGAACCTGGTCTGTTGGTGTGAATGCTGTGCACCTACCATCAGGTTTAACACATTCCATACTCAAAGAATGCCATGCTACCAGAGCGGCTGCAGTTAGCTGATGTGGTATCTGAAAACTAAGAGGTGTTAATTTAAGTAATTTAGTATGTCTTGCCACACTATAACTTCAACAAAAACTGAAGTCTATAATGAATCTAGAATGAATCTATAATTCATTCAAATTGAGCAAAATGATTACGTGAACACTGCATGATATTATCATCTGCCAATACAAAAGTCAGCCAAGTTCACGTAAGATGACACACAGCTGAGATGCTAAACATCACATCAGACAGTGTGCTGAAGCACGTCTCAACACAGGAATTTAGAACACTAATTTAACCAAATCAAAAACATATGCGTAACATTCTACACACAACATCCATGCACTCACTATCTCAGATTCCTTTTTTCCAAATTACAAAATCCTCCTAGTATTTATAAGCGTACTTCACTTCCAATGTGAAGATAACTGATGCAAGCCTTTGTATTTTACTCCCAGGATGACCACTAGGAATCTAGCAGATCCCAAAAGTAATAAAAGGAACTGAGCAGTAGAATGGGATAAAATGCTGAACAGATGTTTTCCTATCAGCCTCTCCTCCTATGCCACGTCTTCCAACCACTCCACCATCTTGACAGCCCTCCTCTGGACTTATTTTGGTATCTCAACACAGAAGGTAATCACACAGAACCACGTGAGAACTGCTACGGATTCATAACTCTGTGGTTTAATCAAATAAACAAACTGATATTTATAGCACAGAGGGATCATTTTAAACAATTATGTTAGGTTTGCTTCCAAAATCTGAGAGAAATCTGTGTGATACACTCCTTTTCTGTAACTAGGTACTAAACCAGAAGTTTCTGCACATCTGGCTTTTATGACCTGGTTCTTATAAAGGAAGAATAAACATGGCATGGGCAAGAAGAGGCCTAGGCCCATGGAGAACTACAGCTTTTAGAGTGCCCTTTGTGGAAATAAGGAATGTGCCCCTGAGGATGTCCCCACCACAGACTTACCATTAGGTGTAGGACACATTAAGTCACGCTGATGAAATGGCCAATAATCCCCAGACCAAACAAGTTCAGTACTCAATAGATTTCTTAACAAGAAACTCAGTGGTCCTATGCAAAACCCTGCACTGAGGCTCAGGCCATGTTCCAGCATGCAGCAGGCTTTGTGCCACTGGTGGAACTCAGACACTGCCGTGGCCTTTCACGTGACTGAAGCAAGGAGAAGGGAGCAGAGTGGCTTTGCACCCCTCTCTGTATGGTGCTGCAAAGTGAAGCTGTGCAAGGACAGCTCCAGCCAGTCTGTCCTATTCTGCCTCTTCCTCCCTGAACAGACTCTGCTTTGCCCACTGTTAGTGGTCTCAGCAATGAAACAGCAGAGGACTAACGGATCGGGAACTAGGGGTTATTAATGCAGATACTATCAATGAGAGAGAGACTGACTTTAAACAGTTTGCCAAAACTAAACATGGGAGAAAAGTAAAAGAGAGACACCAGGCTGCTCTTGAGCAAAGTCTCAGATAAGCATTCCAGTTAAATTAGAATGCACTAAATGACAAAACAGGCTATGGGAAAGTGAGCAAACAAAAAGCAAAATGAGAAAATATACTAAATATTAATATTAAGCTCATTATTAATATTTTAAGGTCATTATTAATATTAAGCTCAGCTTAATGTTTGAACTGAGGAGTACCTTATACCTGGGAAGAGGAGTTACTAAGAAGCTTTTTAATTAGAAAGAGCTCTCCAAAATAAGTTCAAGACTCACCCATTCATTTTCACTTTTTACAATAAACTAACTAAAATCACAACTGAAGAACTGCCAGATATCCAGGAAAACTTGCACAGCTTAAACTTTGACGTCAACTCCTTAAATTGAGTCAATGGATTCATGTGTGATTTTTGTTCGTTTGTTTTCAGAACTTGAGAATATGTACTGATTTGAGATTAGAAGAAAATAAATCTCTCTCAGAAATTCATTGAGCAACATATATGTACTGACACCATAACCCAGCTGCAAATGCTACAGGTTTCTCAATTCAGCAAAGTAACTACAAAATACAATCTCTTTCTTACACAGAATTATTATTATTTTTTATAGGGGAAAAAATCCTCAGTCTCCTATATAAACTTCTCTTAGTGTGTACAGTGAAGAGAGAGGTTTATTTTCACTCTATCCTGTTAGACCAAAAGAAATTAAATCTTTAGGAAAGATTCATACTTACGCTGATAGTTGCACATAAAGCAGGCTTGTGCTGCAATCATCCACTCAGCTCTAGTCTCACAGAAGATAGCAATGTTTGTCTTTGGTTGCTGACCCAACACTGCTAAGCCATTTCCAAAATTAACAGCTTTGATGTACACATCTTCGTATGAAAGCCAGGTATACTTGCCAAGGATGACCTAACAAGAATAATAAATTCAATTTAAAAAACAAAAAGCCTTAACATATGTCCTCTGCTACCTTATCCATGTGAATAAGCTGCAGATGTCCGAAGCTGTTTAAATTGTAACACCGGTTTATTAATAATGAAAATATTCTTGCCAAAAATTACAGCAGCTGTGGAAGCTCCAACACAAATACTGCAACATCTCCTTGCACATCACCGCCTGTTTTGGTTTTCACAATAGGAAGACACACAATTCCCACTGTATTTTGCAGTTCAGAAACCCTAAGAAAGGCTGTGATTATCTGACCCAAATGCTTTTGGTTTCACAAAGCTTTTTCCTCAAATAGAGTGTGACAAGCTAATACGAGTCTTTCTGTGCATTTGCTTCCTTAGACATTTGGACTAAGATTCTCCTACACAAATACAATAAATGGGTGTTTGATCTTATGGAAGACTAACAAACTGGAATCCAGAAAGCACTGTATCCGTGGGTTCTGACACAAATTATGAAATTCCATTCCCTTTGTTTGCTCTAAAACAAACGTCAGGGGAAGAGGAACAATCTTACTGCCATGTTTTACTGCCAAACAGCAGAGGGACTGAAGATGGGAAACTACTGGCAAGCCTCAGCACTGAAAAGCCATGTGGAAAAAGTTAAGCAACCACGCTTTCCTTCCGTATGGAAAGTTGGTGCGCAGTAAAATTGGATTTGAATTTACAGTTCAGTACCTAGCAGGTTCCTATGTGTCTGCTCGTACCTTGCAGTGCCATTTTCTCACCAAGTAACAGGTTATTTAGAGGATATCCTAGAAATTTTCATACGTAGATGCAATACAAAGACATTCAGTACTGCACTTTCAGTCTATTTTCAGTCTACCTTTCTTATCTAGCTACAAGCACCCTGCCAATTTTGAACACCACCATTTTCATTGGTCAAGTATTTTCAACCTTTCCTTTGGCTAGAGAGCAGTAATAATAAATGCACACAAACACTACAAAACAAAATCAGATAAGCAAACTTTTCCCCCATTGCCCCATTCTGTTTTTCAGATTTATCTAAGTTTTGAGGTTGCAGATTGGAACATCTAACTTGGACATGTAACCACATTTCTAAGAAGGCTGTATTTCCAGACTTCCTAGCAAAATGAGTTTGAAAAGCTCGCTTGAATTTTAACAGAAAGAAAACAAAATTCCAATACATTTCTTTTATCAACACACTTTTTCAAGCTGCTGAAATTTTCTGCTGACTGAGTTGTACTCACTACAGCCTTAATCCATACTCCTCATTAATGCCTACATTTAGGGAAACAACACTCAGGGCACGCACAGAAAGATGCTTGGAAACTTCAAAGCATTTTCATTAGAAAATATCACTTATCAAAACAAAAAACCAATACTTGCCAACAACAGCACTACCACCGAAAAATGAACAGATCTCACACACATCTGCTCAAGATTCCCCGTCTTGTTTACAGAAACAGCCTCACAGACGAGTAGGCTGCCCCAAAACCAAAACCCTTACTGAAGGAGGATCACCAGCAACTCCCCTGCTGTCCTGGCAGAGAACCACTGCAGGATGCTGCCTGGCCATGTGTGGCTGCTGGCAACCCCATGGGCACAGTGCCTGGGCACCGACTCGCTGCTAACACGCCAATGACAGGGACCTGGCATGCCAGCCATTTTAACACACCAAAGTGCTTCTGGAATGGGAACATTTTAATGTTTCAAAAACAAACAAAAAAAACCACACGTTTTCCTATCCATTAAAACTTCAATTATTTCTAATTTTAATTTCAGCTTGAGAAAGTTTTTTCCGCCCTAAATACCTTGGAAAGTCTCAACAGAACTCACCAGTACAAAGCAATTTAAAGCAACACCCTTTCTACCACCATTCTCCACTTACAGAAGTGTATCAGAATGCTGCTCTTAAATAATAACAGGAAAAAGCAGCAGGTTCTTGTTACCACTTCTGGTACCTTTTCCAAGTAGTAAATCAACAGCCTTTGGTCTTTCTCACCTGTGGTGTAACCTGCCAAAGTTGAAAAAAGAAAACAAACCTGATCTTTCTGAATAACACTTGTGATTCTTTCTCCTTCTTTAAGCTTCTTTAAGAAACTTTCAGTTTCTTAAATAATTTATCCTCACTGTTTAAGCCAGTTTGATACAAACAGTGAAAAAAAAAAGGCCCTATTTGTGCTTTGCTTTCCTGAAACAGGAGACAACCTGCAGAAAGAAAATAACATACTGGAAGCTGCATTTCTGAGAACACTGGTGAGTCTGAGTCATTAAGACTTTTCTCAACCAGGCTATGCTGGGTTTTACTTTTGCTACTGCCTTCTATGTATTTGAATTCCCATGTTCATTCCCTCCCCACACCCAGAGTCTCTCTCCTATCCTCTCCCTCCATCATTAACATACCTCTTTTGTATACATTCCCTTTTTCTTCCCTGCATGCTTCCTCTGCAGGATGCAGCACAGCTTAGGGTTTCACACACCCTTCCCGATGTTTGAGTACTCATCTTCAAACACATCTCCTTCCTTGGCCCTTTTTGTGTGAAGTTGCTACTATAAAGAGCTGTTAAGGCCGATGGTAAGTGCCGTAATCTTCTGAACATTCACCCACACACCTTACTTTGCAGCTTTCAGAACCTCTCCCTGCTCTCATTACTGACACATGCCAAGAAAGTAACTGTCTGGGAGTTTGCAAGAGAAGGGCCAAGGAGCCAAGATTATTCAGAACCGATTAAACAGACATGTAAAACCAAACACGAAATCAGAAGAGACGGCACCTCTCAACGTTTCCTTAGAATAGTGCACAAGTAGAAAGACACTGCCCTCTAGTGCATCAGCTTTTAACCAGATTTAACCTGCAAGTTAATAAAAATATTTCAATCTTACCCTTTAATGCTGGAAAATATTTAATACCACTACTGAATTAATATTGGGAAATTTATCAAATTACCAAAGAATAAGTATTTGCTGCCTGGTGAACATTTTTTTAACCTGGATTATAGGGTAGCTCTATTCAATATATATATATATAAATATATATATATTTTAGCATGAAGGTGTCACAAAACATTCTGAAAGGCACAGAGGGCACACAGTCATGGAGCTGCCCAACCTCACCGACCATTTGCAGTCTGCTGACAAATAGCTCAGAAGCCTCAAAGAATCTCAACCACAATTTGAAGCTGAACATTTTTGGAAACAGCAATAAAAATAAAGAACCACACACTCCCTAAAATACCGATTACCTAGGAGCACCTATGGCATTTTTCATCATCACAAGCTACCCTCGTTCTGCCCATCACAGCCAGAACCTTCCTGCAGCCCCATGCAGCAGGTTTCTGCACCAGGCACCATGAGCACTGCAGCACTCCCCTGCTGCAAGGAAAGGCTCCTATTGTACCTCACTGCTCATCTCTCTTGACTCATTTCTTTTTTATAAAGTGAGGAAGAGCACGGATTCTGTATTAAACACCTGCCACCATAATGACCCAGTGTCTAAACTCACACTATTTCCTATCTTTGTTGTTCTGCTGCTTGTTTTGTTTGATTGTTTTTACTTAAAGTCTATGAATTTCTGCTTCTTTGGCCACTGCACAGGAATAGATCTTTCAAACAATAATATAAAATACAAAGTTCCAAAAACAGTACAGATTATCTTGGATATCACTGCTCTCTAAATTAAGAGCGCACACAAACTTGAAGATGTAAATCTAGCTTTAAATAATTTTAGCTTAAAGTGGACATACACTTAGTTCTGTTAAGAATCAGAAGCTTTGTTTTAATTTGAGGGGATATGTCTTTACTCGATAAATTACTTAGGCTAATTTAGCCCAATGTAATCTGCAAATCAGAAAGCCATCTTCTAACAAGCAATGCAATTCAGTACACAGATGCATGCTCTACATTCAGAGTTGCCACTGATGTACAGATGACCTCAGATAGGCACATAAGCCATTCCCACCACTCCATTCAATTTCTGAAAGGGAAAAAATAATCAACAAGTTCTGCAGCTCCCATAAGGTACATGAATTACATGCACACTGCACACAAGAACTGAGAAGTGCCACGCACTTATTTAAAAAGCTGTACCAAATAAACCTCATCCTTGTCTTTCACTAAGAGTACCTGGGCAGTGAAGAGATGCATGGTATGAAAGACCAAAATCAAAGCAGAAGAACCCTGACATTCAAAGACACCTTGTACAATTTTCACATTTACTCACTTGCTAAAACGTGCTATGAGGTAATAAGAAATATTGTCTTCCTAATGGAGAAAAAAATAAAGTAAAGCTACTTGCTAATTCCACAACTTGGAACAGAACAGCATCAAGGCAAGCATGGCAATCAACCATCATAAGGGACTGTTGTGTCAAGCTTAGATAGAATTACCTAGTTTAGGTAATTTCTAATCTAAAGGCTGAAAAAATAAGTAATTTAAGTAGGTCAACATCAACATTCTTCAACCTTCCAGTATTCAGAGTATGTTGTTTGCATAATAGCAAAGGCTAAAACTCATAAGATCTTAAGCCTTGTGCTACCAATTATATTTGAAGAACAGAGCACTGAACACAGGCAGAGAAAATTCTGATCTGTGCCCAGAAGCCTCTACTTTGCAGAACACCAACTCCTTTCTGCTTCTTTACAGGGCATCAAAGCATGAATCAAAAACGATTCTACGGACCCTTTTCTCAAAAAGAAAAAAAAAAGTGCATTTCTGAACTCAGGGAAAAATTAATGACTGGGAGGAAGTTTCACTAACAAATCTGCAAAGGCTTCAACACAACTAGATTTTTGCCAACCATTGTGATATCAACTGATTTATTACTATATCAAAATTTAAAATAAGCATTGTTTAAGGACCCCTGTATTACAGACGTAACTTTTTCTTCTGCAGGAAAACCAACCTTAACCAAAAATAGTCCCAAAAGTGCACGCAATTAATAATATCTGACATAGAAGCAAAGGACTCAAACCCTTCTTTGCACATATGTTGTATTCTGGTTCACTTCTTTAGAGAAAACTACATTTTTAAATGCCTGTAATTAAACATAAATCAACTACCAGCAAAGCAACACAAACCCTGAACTTTAAAGACTACAAAAACCTCAGTCTCTTGAAACAGCAGTTTTATACTGAAATTGAACCTCCCTCTCTGCACTATGATTACAGATTAGCAGAAAAAAATCACCCTAAAGAAGACCGAGAGAATAAAATTTTTGCAATTAAAGTCTGGGCAACCCTTTTTCAAGCAAAAATTCCATTAAAGACCTGAACATGCAGGGTAAAACTGTAAACTCTTAATTTACAGTTAACCTCACTGAAAATTGACTACTTTTCTTTACTCCTTTTAATTATGATTTTGAAGAAGACAAAGGGAAATATTTTTTGCTTACCTACAATAAGAACTTTAAGCCACTTACACCAGCCAACTACTTAAAGTAAACAAGTAAATAAAAGGCAGCAGCTATCTTTTCCTCCTCCCAACTTGCTCTGCTGGACCAGAAATGTTCCAAGAGGAAGTAAATACATGGAATAAAAAGTTCTCAAGAGGCAGACTGCAAAAACCCTTACCTTTTTGAAAACCTTTCCTGATGGCTGGATTTCATCTTCCTCCTTCAGGATTTCCCGCGTTCCTAACAGCTTTTTGTCCTTATATTTAGTTTTAGCATACTTAAAAACTTTGTCGAGTGTATCACAGCCAGGATATAAAACTGAAGCTAAGCAGTGCAGACTGTTAACAGACCTGTATGCACCCCCAGGCCTGTTATTCACAGGTCTAGCCTTAACCTGCTTGGATTTTGCTATAGCCTGCCTTGAGCCTGAAAATATGTACCAAGGAATGTACGTTACAACCGTATACACCAAGATAATAAAGTTTATAAACTGCAGAAGAATGGGGTTGATGTTATGCTTCAACTTCATTTTGGCTCCTTGCGACAGTTACAGGGGAGAGTTTGAGACCATGGAGCAATCAGACAGGGATCCAAAAAGATCTGCAAAAAAAAGAAACGAAAAGTTAACAGTAAACTGTATCTGAGAGAGAATGTTTTCAAATACGCATTACAATACGTATCAGAAGTAGGCCTCTATGCAGAAATCAGGCCAGGAGCCTTAATCCCCCAACACAAACACCCAAGCCACCCATACTGAGGAAACACTCTTCTGCTGCATTTAACAGGCTGCAGTGCTGTTGGTATTTGCATTTCTTTGGATGTTAAACAGTACAAACACAATCGTTATGGAATTCAAGACTTGAGTTCTTTTTTTTTTTCTTCATAAATTACACATATAACCACATTTATTAGCACATAACCACGTAACATTTCAGGACAAACACAACTCATTCACAATTTCAAAAGACTCTCCGATCACATTAGAAACCTGCATGTGTATCTGAACAGCAGTCTGCACATCCTTCTACTGTAAGCATCCGACCTCCATACAGAACATAAGAAAACAAGTCACGTAACCATTCTGCATGAGGGGAACTTGATCGCTGGTCACCCAACCACTGATCAGCCCAAATCCTACCAACAGCACTAGGAAGAGATTGTGCAACTTCCTCCAGTGTCCTTACAACACCTCCATACTCCATATACTTTTTTTTTTTTTTAAGCACAGTTTATCATATGTAATGAATTCAGTGATGCAATGCCCTAACGTGCTCTAATGCACAGTAAATAAATGAGTCTGTCTATCCAGAAGATCCACACAATCAACAGAATTAATTAAAATTACTGGGGCAAATCAAAGACAATTGCCATAATGGTTGAAGATGAATTTCTGCAACAGAGAATGAGCTGCCCATTACAAAAATAGTTTTGTCCATAAAAGCAAAGCAGTCTAACTATAATTACATATCATTCAGTTAACTTCAAATGTATCGATACAACTACATGAAGAGCAATAACGTTAAGTCAGAAAACTAATACTGATGTGTGCACAAGATGCACACATTTGACTGTTCTTACTAAATGAACCAAGTGCCCGTTCACAGGCCACAATGCCAATCCCATACCAGTTTTGCTGTCTTACAAACACCCACCAAGTTCAAAAACCCTAATAAAAAGAAAGTTAGTAGAAAAAAAAGTTTGTATCATAAAAGATAAAACTTAGTAATGGAAAGACACCTCACTTTATCACAAGCATTAGACTTGTACATCCTTTTGTAATCGATCCACAATCCTAAATGTGATGAATGAGATCAATTCCATCTTTCTCCAGATCATTCAGTTTTTCAGAACTCCAAGCAAAAGTATTTCTGCAAAGCACCCAGAGACTAGTATTAACTCAAGCATAGGAGTCCTTCCTTGTAGATACTCAGTGGAGCAAGCAGCAGAGAGGGAAAGGAGTTTGAAACCTAAAATGGAAAATGGAACAGTGTGTATATACATATATATATATATATATATATATATATATACATACACACACACAAACACAAATTATTTTTAAGATCAAAGGCAAAACAAGCGACGATAAAAATCTTAAGTAGGCTAAAGGGCAAATTCAGTAATCGTTTGAAGAGACTTATGTTCTTAGGCTGTCACTGAAGGATACTTAAATGGAAATAACCACGTGCCAGACAATAAGCTGCTGTTGTCCAGAAAAATTATGGTGCTGTTGATAGCAGCACAGAACGTGACGTCTTCATGCTGAATTCTGAGTTCAGCAGACAGAAGTTCACCCGTTTTCCAGGAAGTAACACACCATGGGAATTGTGTCTGGCCCATCTCAGGGCAGAGGGGAGCATACACTTCTTCCTTATAAAGCTGAAGACGTTATTTGTGGCTACGCAGTAGAAAAGGAATTTAACCAAACTCTGTGACAAGCAAGAAATAAAGACAACTGACTTAATACCTTTTGGAAAATTCTTCTCCAAAGAAAGTCCCTATCTGAAAAACAAGCAAGCTGTCCAGAAACATTCACTGTCGGTTGCACGGCTCTTTGCTTAGGAAGGCACTGAGACCTTCTAGAACAGCAGCTTTCCTTTTGATTTTGCTGATATTCAAACAGCTTTATTCCCAATTCAGAATGAGAAAGGCTTCTCCACTTTCTTTGGGAAAAAAAAAATAAAAATAAATGCACCAAGGTCTGATCTTAAGCTCTTTTTTTTTGGTGGCTTATTCAAAGTCTTGCACAAAACCCCACGTTTGAGTTGATTTCTTTGAATTGCAAATCATTAATTGTGTTAAGGCTTCATTGCAACAAGAGGTCGATTTCAAACGGATTCTTTTAAAAATTAACGTTTACAAAAACGTAGCTTTTCTGCCTCAAATGCTACTTTTTGTAGATTAAAAAAAAAACAAGATTTTCCAAATGCATTTTCTTGCCTACAGATCAGTTGAGACTCATTTCTTCTCATTGAAATCTTGTAAGGTTTATTTGAAGATGTCCTTGAAATGATGATTTGTGGTCATCACTCTCTTAATACAGCTACTCACAGGAAGAGGTTAAATAAACTCAACATTTAGGGGCAGGGAAGGCAAAGTAGACAAGAACGGGATCCCAAGTAGGTTTAGTAAACACTGGTGAAAGCCAATAACTGAGAGAGCACCCCCTGCCTTTACAATGCCCACATACTGTTCTTAAGCAAGTCACTGACAAATAAAAACATATGAAATATGTGAAACATCTGTAAGTTAGCAGCCTACACAGCAGGTTAGCTGTAAGCATTCAGGCCCTCAGATAACACACATGCATTCTAATGCAGTTGGGGTGTTCAAACCCTGACCAAATATGCAAGAAAGTTGGCAGATGAAACTAAGCACTGGAGGAGAAAGCTTTTAATTTATGCAAAATCATTTATACAAAAAAAGCACAGAGGCAAACATTCCTGCACACACCCAACAGCAGTTCTATTTATATGTAAAGCAATTCCATGAAACAGGCACCGAGCAGCAAAGAGTAAGACCATGGGTTTCTTCAACCAGCCCAGGAAGAGGCAACCAGCACACCCACTGCTGAGTTTGGGGCAGCACACGGCAGCGCTCAGCACTGATCTGCTTAGTGCATAAGCAGTGATTTGGCCTGATACACTTCTTACACTAATGCTGTTACGCCCTTTTGGTTTAGAAGCAAACTTTTGTTGAATAAGAAATAAAATCCTTGCAGGAATGTGTTTACTAATTGATCTGCTTATAGCAGTTGCACTACAATAAAAGCATAAATTAATAAGAAAAAGAAACCTTATGCAACTTTTTATTATGGCAGGCACAGGTACATCAGCTGATACAATATGTTCCTGTCTCAGTTTACTCAACAGGAGCTGTCACAGGCAACTGCAAGATCTAAAAGTGGAAAATCCCAATTACATATGTCGATTACTAAAGCTATTCCCTGCTTCTTCAGTTGTGTTTTGTAATATACACAAATAAACAAATCCTTTTGCTCACCTATCACTGCACTGTATCACCTTGGAGAGTCCAGGCCCACCACATTAAGTTAAAACAAACCCTGTTACAACATGCAGCAGGCTGGTCCTGGTTCATGCCTAAGCACAGCACAACCGAGGTGCTGCAGCAGTCAGACTCCGCAGCTCGTACCACCAGTTCCACCATTTGGAGTTGAAAAAAATTACATACACAGCACTGTATATTTATCTATGCATGGAATAGACTTCAGCAAGAGTCGTAAACATTCCCGGATTAAAAAGACTACACAAAACAGTAACTGTCACAAACACCAACTTCAATCTACTATAGACAAAGGCTTTATTTATCACACTTTAGGGAAACAAGTCACACTTAAAATGCATACCAGCAACTCAGATTTAAAATATGCAGCACAGGTAACACTTCCTACCTATTCCCCGACTGCAAACATTATAATTTACAAAGCCATTCACTCCTCAGGCAGATTATCTCTTCCACAAGACCGTTTCAGTGGCTGGAGGTTAAGAATCAAGGTGCTTCCATCCAACTTCTGTCACACACAGCAACTAAACAAGCAAACTCAAACCCAGGGAGTTCAGATTATCCACACAAAAATACTGATGCGTGTGTAACTTAAATTGTAAATTTCTTACACCAGTGAATCCTGCAAACTAATCAATTTGTTAATAGTTGCAGAAAAGTTAACAAGGGTTATTAATAGGCTTGGCTTTATTGGACTAAATATCAGACAATACGTGTAGATATTCTGTTATCTTGATTAAGAAAATTAAGACAACATAGAAAAACACATTATGCAGCACTTTGCACTGTTTGCAAACTTTACATAATTAGCCTCTGCTAATTTACACCTGGACTTTAAATGTTTCTTTGCTGATATTCAGCAAGTGAGCTACTTGTTTTTACAAATTGAAGAGTTCTAGAAGTTGCTGTTACTTACTTTTAAACATTCATGTATTCACCTGCATAAAATTGGGACAGAAAGCCAAACACCCAGAAATAGTTAGCAGCCTCTATTTCACGAGGAAATCCCTGGAATGCTACGTGAGTTGCAGGCTGAGGTGATGAACGCTTTTGGGAACAGAAATCTAAATACATGCCAATCTAAGTAGAAGAGCTGTTCTGCAAGATAAGTTTATCATAGTCTTATCTGAAAACTGATGTTCCTCACAGCTGCCGCAGGAGTGCCGTCACACTGCTTATAAAGAAGCAGAGCAGACAGGAACCCCACACAGCCCCACAGCCCAGTTGGCGCGAACCCAACAGAGCCCCGAGGCTCGGCTGACTGAGAACTGCACAGGCCCAGCAGACCGATCTGAGAGCAGAGCTGGTGCTCAGCACACCTCCCCGAATCCCAGCCCTGTCGGCAGCTCAGGCCTTCCTGCACACAAGGCTCATCTGAGCACACAGCTGCTGGGCAGAGGCGGCAGCAGGCTGCAGGAGGGGTGTGTGACAGCGCTGGGCAGCCACAGCAGCAGTTCCCACGTGGCTCAAGCACATTTAATGCTGGGCTGCTAATAAAAACAGAACGTTTGTTTGCAAAATCCAGCTTTTCCCTTCCATTGTCCCACTACTTTAGTGCCTGTGTGGCTAGGAACAAG